CCTGAGCTTGCTCATGCGACGGTTTTTTTTTGGTCAAAATTCGGTAATTTTGGAACGAACTTCGCTGTCACACGCTTCATTTCCGAAAAAATTGCATGGCATATGTAACAATTTTCTTCACTTTCTCAACATTATTATCGGTTGTTGGGGCGTCCAGGGCGAGCATCGTCATTCACATCTTCTCGACCCCCTGTGAAAAGTTTGTGCCACTTGTAAACATTTTTCTGACTCAGAGTAATGTCACCGTACACCACTGTCAACATTTCAAGTGTTTTCAGCACTCAATTCCATTTTTTACACAAAATTTGAGGCAAATTCTTTGATCCACTATTTTTCGATAGCAGAAAACATGCTAAACAGCTGAAACTTTGAACATATGTCCGAGGCGAGTGTACCGACATAAAAAAATTATTAATCGCTTATCGAATGTATGTATGTATGAATATTCACCTTATTTTTTGAATAGTCCACGTATATACAGGGCTTTTCAAAATCGAGTGCATGCCTAAACGGTAAGAAATAAAGAATAGGTTGAATTGTGGTAAATCTACGAATTTTCGTGTACCATTGAACAATAACAAAAAAAACTACTCTAGACCTGTTGTAAAGCGCGTAATGTCTAAAATTTTATAATATCCTCACCCTCTATTTCCATTAAGGCTTTCACGTGTCATACAACCAACAGAAGTTTGAGGAAAACTTGAAGTTACTGTAGGCAATGATCGCATAATTCAATCAGTTCAATAAAATATACCCTGAAAATATTGGTTTATTCACTTTAACACTTTATTTCAAGATTTTCTCTGAAAATTTTATAAAACCATCTAATGAAAATTTCATAATAAAGTGTTACGTTATGGATTATCATAAGTATAAGTCAACTCAATAAAAAGGAGTCTGTTAGATCCTTTTCCATTTCCAATGATCAATGATTCAATTGAAAAAGTTGGTGGTTGTAAATATTTCACTGAAATAGATTTGAAAGATGCATTTTGGAATATAAGCATTATAGAAAATAGCAGAACGTTTACAGCATTTGTAACGGAAGAGGGGCATTATGAATTTCTCAGGTTACCATTCGGATGGAAGAATTCAAGTGCAAAATTTCAGAGTCATTCAGGATGTTCTTGGTGATTTATTGGACGGAAATGTAGTAGCAAATATTGATGATATATTTGTGGAGCTCAAGTTACACTTTGGAGATATATGAAATTATTACTTTAAAAATTTTGTGAATATTTGATGAAAATAACTTCAAAATAAACTTAAAGAAATGTTCTTTTTGTGTGCAAGTGAGTTTTCTAGCTAGAGAAATCGATGGAAATATGAAGATGAGAAATGAAATCACTGAAAAGGTGAAAAATATGAAAAGACCTTATGACATCAAATCATTACAATGTTTAACTGGCCTCACCAGTCATTTTAGTTTAATATCAAATTATAGCAAAATTACACGTCCTTTGGAAGAACTAAAATGTAAAAACAAAAAATGTATCAGAACCGATTTTGAGAATCCCAAATCCTCATTTGAAATATGAATTATCGGAATATGCTTCATATTATGGCTGTGGGGCAATTCTCTATCAAAGAGGTCCAAAAGAAATAAAGAATAGACAACTAAGAGTCATTAGCTATTACTCTAATACTTTTTTAAAGCGTGTAATGAATTATCCAGTAACAGAGAAAGAATGCTTGGCGGTGGTAAAAGCAGTGAAACATTTTCCCACCTTTCTAGAAGAACGAAATTTCAAAGTCCATACCGACCACCGTGTTTCAACCCAATTTTTATCCACTGGAGATCTGAGAGATAGATTGGCAACATGTTTCAATATGGAGGTCAATTATAAAAATGGAAAAGAACTTAAAGATGCTGATGCCATATCAAAATTATGTATTGAAACTCCCATCAATATTCAAGACTACCACCAGTCTTGAGAAGACTTGGAATGAGCTGAACGCCTTAATTGCCGCCTGGCTGTCGGAGAAAATGGCAATGGTTTTATTTGTGAACTTCTGCCTGTTTATTTTCCCCATACAGTGTTCAAATACTCACCAAAACCTAACTTCATTCATATCACTAAATGTTCTAAAAATTCATATGAAACCAAACATGTTGATTTTACTGAAATACAAAAGAAGTCTGACTTAAATAAAACAACCAAATCATTCATTACCATTGTTGAAGAGACAACGAACAAGATATATCTCAGCAAAAGCAATGAAGGAAAACAGTAAATCTGTAAAACAATATTCAGCTAATTTACCATTTCTGAATGAAATATCAAATATAGTAACTGATTGTGAAAAATTATTTACATCTGGAGAATTTCATGAATGGCAAATGAGAGAGGAAAAACAATTAAACATATCAACCTGGAGGAGATGGAATTGCAGAACGTCTGTAAGACAATATTCAGCTAATTTACCATTTCTGAATGAAATATCAAATATAGCAACTGATTGTGAAAAATTATTTACATCTGGAGAATTTCATGAATGGCAAATGAGAGAGGAAAAACAATTAAACATATCAACCTGGAGGAAATGGAATTGCAGAACGTCTGTAAGAGATGTAAAGTTATTCATGAAATGTTATGAGGATTTTCCTGGTGGTTAGAAGAAATGTCTCGAGGCAGCTGTAAGGCTTCATAATCAGTCACATTTTGAATTTTTAGTTTTACAAGCAGATAAAGTATTAGGTTTGAATGAACAAATAAGGGAAATACCAAAAAAAACGCCAGGACAATAAATGAAATTCAAGGAGAGGGTTCAAAATCAAGCCAGTAAAAATAGAGAATTGAAACTACCCGAACTGAAAGGAGGAGAGAGCATTCTAGTGAAATAAATAAATATTTCCACATAAGTCGTTCATTTTCAACTTTAGCAAGAAATATGATATGCGCTTTGTTCTTGAGAATGTTTTCACGAATTGAAATGCATGATGAAATATAGGGTATTTGAGAAAATATTATTTTCTAAAATGTTTTAAAAACGGAACTGTCAATTTTTTTTCGGCATCGAAAAGGCATTAAGATGCTACTAGTTTGCCCATTTAACCGAATTCGTAGCATCAGTAATAACGGAGTTGGCAGTGGTGCCGACTTAATTTGCAACATCCTGTATAACAAAAGGTACATTCGAGATAACAGGAGTCCATTTCATCGATGCAATAGTAGCCTTCGTGAATTTCGACCAGAGTCAGATAATTTTTCCAATATAAGGATGTTTCATCACAGAAGTGATGACTTTGAAAAGGGGGAAGCTTTGTAGTATATGAACACTCTGTATAATTCTCTTTCATATATTTTTATTGCTATGGTGATATAATAAAACTAGTATTGTAAAAATGTTGACAAGTGAAGTGATGAGTTAAGAATTCATCCGCTTGTTTCCTTAAAAGTGTATTACAAGTTTCATAGTCTATTTCAAGAATAAGGTTGAGTAAATTTTTACTACATAAAGACCCCATATATTCTAATTTATTATTTAATTCATTTAATATCTTCGGATGTACAAATTGAACCTTGAACCGCGAAACACTTCAAAAGTATATATAGAAAAATTGTGAGCCATTTGGAATTGAGGGACAGTTTTAGTGGAAATTTCATACCTTTCCAACAAATATCTATATTGAATTGTTCATCTGCCAAACAACAAATAAATGAAACTACAAATAATATTAAATATAATTTAGACACAAAATATTCTTGTTACCTTAAATTGACCGATTTTGCCAATTTGTATGCAGTTGGCAAAATAAAGTTATTATTTATGAAGCGGGATTTGCAGTAAAAAGTCTCTTAAAGTTTTTACATTGTCATCAGTGCATTGATAGCTTGTTTCCTAATTATGTTTCAATATGGGTCAAGGACAATGTTCATTTAATTTATCCCTTTGGAAGTGTTGTTAAAATTTGCGAATTATGTGAAAAAATGGTCGAATATCATTTAAACTCATGTGGAGGAAAAATTTCGAAAGATCTAAATGAATGAATTGTTTTTTGTAATTTGTGGATTTATCAATTAGATAACTTTCCTAAGATAAACCACGCATCAGAATTAATGAGCTATTTCTGAAAAATATATAGATATTAAATTCCATTGTGTAGCAAAGCAAACTAATTTTGAAAAACAAAAAGTCATCTTTTCAATAAATCAATTATTTTCAAGAAACAATGAATTTTTACACCTATTTTACGATTTACTTTAGATATGTGTCGTTAAAAATCAAATAAAGATGATATTGTCTCAATATGATTTTTTTTAACATTGCATTCATAACTATTCATACTTAATGTTCAATATTTGTACTTGAACTTAATGTAAGTACGGATCTGCCTTAGGCGCCGATACCCCTTAACGCACTTCAGACTTCACTTGCAAGCGCCAATAGTCCTACTTATGCGCATTCCATTGGTTTCTACTTCCATGATCGAAGCCAATTCAATTTCTCCATATTATATGAACAGCGTTGATGATAAATTTGCTATTAATAATACAGGTCCGTATTTGAAATTTCGAAGTTGAGAGTGCTGCATATCGGATGGTATCCTGTATAAAAACAGTATTAAGATACTTAGATAGGTCACTGAAAACTCCAAATGACAAAGTTGAAACAAATATTCAATATTTCTGTGAACAGAAAGATCACAAGCTGAAATAAAATTTGGAATTTTTCGGGTTTTTCTGCATATCTTCGAAAAAAAAAACGATCTAGGGTTGATATTTTGGCATCGTTCATTTGTACCCAAATATAGGCAACTTTGCGACAATTTAACAGATTCTCAATTTCTTACCGTTTACGAGATCCCTAGGTATATTTTCGAATTTGAATAGCCCTGTATATCATACTGGGGCATATCTGATGGGGGTTGTGTCTGGAAACTCAATCCAAAAGAGGAAACGCGACAACACCGCCAACCTATATCCCGCCGGCAGTTCGCGCCAGTCGGTGTAGGTCTTATCGAAGCTCACAAACCGGTTCGCGCGCTCCTACAGAGCGCTGCCTAGCGCCGCTCGCTTCACAGACAGGGCGGTAGGTGTGGATGGAGTAGGTCAGGTTTTCGCGAGATGTTGTCGAGCGTTGAGTCCGTGTGACCGGCTGATATAATGGGTGTGTTGCAGGAATCGCGCGGAAAGAGACCCTTCAAGTTATGGGACGGAAGACGTAACGTGCGCAAGGGGCTGGTGGTGGGAAGTCTCGAGGAGCTGGTGCAACGAGGCAGAGACAAACTAGGAGTTTCCATCGGAGAACCGGTCCGATTGGTCCTCGAGAGCGACGGCACCCAAGTCGAGGACGGCGAGTATTTCCGCACCCTTCCTGCCAACACTATCCTCTTGCTGCTCAGGCCGGGGGAGAGATGGCTACCTGCAGGCGTGGACGTCATCAAAGCAGGTAGGTAGTACTGTCAGATTGAAACCAAAGAAAATTCAGTTGTGGTCAAATTAACTGCAAACTCGAAAATCCATGAAAAATTCAGTGTTGCAAGTTATTCATTAGGCATAATATGTTCAAACCAATTTTTAAAACATTTTTTCACTCTGAAATTAATATTTCGAAAACGTGGTTTTGGAAGGTATCAACAAATTCTTGAGGTGATGAAAATTATCTACTCAATACACATTTCAGGTTTCACAAAGGGGGAAAAAAGTAGTTGGGAACGCGGCCAATGAATCTTCAGTTCTGTTTTTCTTCTTCAATTAATGGATTCTTTGATATGCTGGGCGAGACTAGAAATGCCATGATGAAGAATTTTGGAAGTTCTTCCTGACGGTTCAACTGTTGTTGGATTCCGTTCATCTTGATATACCCAAACAGCATATTGTTGCTTAATTTCCTGTTCATAGGAATACATACACGTTCCTTATCACCAAATTTTTCTGAATCCGTCTGAAACAGGTCATTTTCTCACCTAAATGTTTTTGCAAAATTGAATGTTTTAATTTTGGTCACCCTTCACGAGATTCAACACTGAAATTCTGAAAACCGATTGTGAACAGTATTTTCTAATGATGTCTAAAGCTTGAAGTTATACGAAGCGATTTTGTAAATTTTTATCGAGTAAGTCCTTTCTCAAAATCATCCAAAGAGAGATGTTAGCTTCTTTTCACTCACTCTCGGATAAGTTATCGTTGATTCTAGAATAATAAAAGGCGACATTTAGAAGGTTCTGATATCACTTTTCAATAGACTCATCTATTCGTGTTAGGAAACATAGAAGGCAACCCTCGTAGTTTGACTATTTCAATTACCCAGAATGTAGTACAACTGAAACTCGCTTTTGGTAGACCATTTTGTTGAAATAACAGTTGTGATTACGATTCGAAGTTATGTGGGGGTGTGGTCATCACACCCCCACAAAAAAAGGCCGATCAGATGCACCGTTTGGCAAAAAGTACAATAAATAAACAGCACTATCTGAATCGATTTGAGAACACCATTTTCAGCTGAATCTGAATTTTTGCGTCCACATCTAAGCGCACATTGTATTGTGGTACTTTCTTGACACAAGTGTTCAGACAATCCCTCTACAATCTAGTGAAAGGTTACTACTGACTTGTACCTAATACACTATCAATAAGTTTTTCCTCACTTCTGATTTTATAAGAGTAAAGCTCATGGAAGAATTACATAATTGTGAGACACTGATGCGATTTGTTGGAATCGTTTATGATCAAGAAAATATTGTTGAGATCATCAACATCACTGAAAATAAGATTTTTTCTAAAAGGTTTCAATTCAGTTTGAGTTGCTATCTTTACTGAGGACAGTTATCTTCAAGTAGTTAGAAAAGGAAACAATCATTATTATGACCCTTTTTTGGACTTTGATGGACTATAAGAGAAATGTTGGTTGTTTGTTTCTATTTCGCTAGGAATTCCCTCAACCAAATGTGATTTGAAATGGGACTTCCAACTTTCACCTACCTATCGGTGATTAATGAAATCTTCATAGATATTTAATTTTTTTTTATGTTGTTGTTCATAAAACACGACGGTAGCTTTTCAAATATGATTTATGTAACCCCCATCAACCAACTTTCATTATCATCTCGGTAGATGAACATTGCCTGTTAATTAGTACTGACAGGTAATGTTCATCATTGAATTCAATTAACTAGTTGCTCAATCAGTCGAATCTATCTGTATTAATAAATTGAGCGAAAAAATCGGCAGGAAGTTACACTGATCTAATATGGCCATTTGACGATATTGTCATTAAATAACAGAATAATGGTAATATTTATTGGTAAATCAAGAACATAAGTTGTGCTTATACTTTTGTGCTTATACTTCAACTCGAATATTTAAACATTTTTTGAGATATTGAAAAAATGAGAAAATATTTTCTCTGTTTCCCAAATTCAACTATTTACTGCATTTAGATTGAGAGTTACTGAACATTTCGACCCACTGAAACTTTATTCAATTGATTTCTGGCTTTAGGGTGTTTTTAACTTATTTTCAATGTACTACTTGGGGCCACTGATTACCAGTTATCAGAATGTTTTATAAATATCATATCGGATATCCAGAAAAAGTTTTCTATGACTTCAACTAGTGAGAGATCTAATTATCCCTTTTGAAAAACTTCGACCTTTCAAATATTTTTACTTGTTTACTTTAATGTATATAGATCCTCAAAATTGACTTCGAGTCTAGTCTTATTAATTTAAACAAGAAATATAATTTTTTTATTACAAAAAAAGAAAATATAGTGTATGAGAGTTAATAGAGAATATTCTAAACAGAAAAATTATCAAACATATCGTATAAATAACAAACTGCATAGTTATATCTGTGGTCCCAAACCATCATTATTTTTATTTTTCAATGAGTTCAAATTTTGATGTTTTTTGATCGGTATAATATGTATTTAGAAGAAGTTATTAACTTCGATTTTTTCACTGTGTAATTTATTCCAAGTAGGTATATCAAAATAACGTATGACAAAAATATTACATACCAGGAGAGTTGAAAAACTTTTAATTTTATTGAGTAATATTTTTTATTGAATTAATAGTTTGACAGTACCTACACAGATATCACTGAGTAGTACGTTTGTTGAGACGTATAGTTTTCACATTTACATCTATAACTCAGTTCATTCTGATACAATACCCATAACATACTAATCCAAAAATTCAATTCAATCTGTTATGAAATCAATTTTTCTTCCATTGCCTCAATATGCAGATGCAAACCTGGCAGTATGGTTGGTCATTGGTCCCATTGTTTCTGGTTTTTATCGTTGATTTTCCTTTATGCCGGGCACTTTTCTTCATTAAACAACAAAATTCTCCTTTCAATCAATGGGGTATTTTTGAAAAGATTTATAAAATTGTGTTTTTATAAGTAACACTACCTGAAATTGAAGTTTGGTCTTATATAGGTGTTTTTGAATTTTCACAAAGGTCCATGATAAGTTATTTCATGTATGTAGATCTACCATTAGCTGAAGGCTTACAGAAAAAATTACTGGATACCCTATACTCCCTCCATGTTTTTTAATCACAAAGTACCATATGGACTGTGACAATGTTACCCACCAAAGTAAACTTTTCCATGTGCAAAGTCATAGTTCAGTTTTTCAAATGTAGTGCGGAACCCACCACTTTTCTAGGGTGGATCATTCTATGGGATGAATACGATTATAAGGAAAACGTTCATTTTAATACTATGTCGACTTTAAAATAGTTTCAAATGTTCAAGCTTACCTACTTCAAGAACCGATTAATCTCCACCAATAAATTCGAAGAGGCTATTTTTTTCAAAAAATTAACCACCATACACCATAGTTTCTAATGGGAAATATTTTGATAGTATCTGTTGAACTTATCTTCACCCTCTTTCCAATTTGAAGTAGATGGGCATCCATTAAAATTTATTTATTTGAGTACTATTGAATAATCACAGATGTACATGAGTAAAGAGATATTCATTACTACTTTTGTAGTCGTTTGGTTGACCGTGTGGTATTTTCGACTAGAGTGGACATAAGTGACAATTTGAACTTGATAATAATACAAATTTGTAACATTATTTCAATAGAGAATAGAAATGTACTTATCAAACTCAATATGAATCTATAAATAGTACTCTACAGAAGAATAATTGTATAAATACGTTTTTAAAGATATTATATCCTAATGCCCGACCTAGTACATTGAAATTAGGGACCCCAACACATTCGAATCACCACATATCCAATCGGTTGTATGAATCAGCACTTGACAATCTTTCAAATTCAGAATTTGAAGAGGGTTGAAGGTAAATGTCCAAATAATTTGCAATATATCACCTGTTTCATTTTATCACTTCTCTCAATGATGATTGTTCAAATATTTGTGCACGGTTACAATATCAACTCAGAGAGTTGTCAGTAACTTCTAAAAAATATATTTTTTTGTTTATTCCCAGTAGCAATCTCAGCCATACCTAAAATTGTATGCGAGACCATTCACGCATTGGAACTGCACGATGAGACGCCATCCTGGAAAATCATGGACAACAAAGGGCGCGTCACCGTCGTCCTACACTGGGACCAGAGGTCTGGTCCATCGAGAGCTCCGTCTGAGACGCCTTCGCCGGCTCCGGGTAAGTTTTCACCGAGTAAAAGGCCGCCGCTCGTGATCCAAACAGGAACAGGAGGCAAGAAGGAGACCATCATCAACGACGTTTACGTCCCCGCGCCCGCCCAGCCCCAACCGCGATATGCAAGTCCTCAGATCACTGTGATAAACCACGACGACATCAAACCCGTTCATAGGTTATCAAAACAGGGCAGCTCGTTGGAAAGCGCCACCATCCACATCCACACATCCGAGTGCGCCCATCACGCCCACATGCCACGCGCCGGCAGTCCTCAAAGCAACGGGGCCATCGAATGCGACTTCCACTGCTGCGCCTTGCACGAAGAAGGGCGCAAGATCGCCGTACACAAGAGCGTGGCCACATCGCCGATCCAAGATACGCAGCAGACTTCTCCCCAGCCTCCTTCCCGACACGTTCGTTTTTTAGACATTGAAGGTGACGGCTATGGCGGGCAGTCCGAACACGAGAGCTCCGAAAGTGAAACGGAGAACACCGTGATGGAGGACGAAGCCGTCACCTCAGAAAAGTTCCTGCTGCTGATCGACCAACTCAGCGTCGACCAGAAACGACATTTGAGTATCAGAGATATAGGCGTCATTTTGGACCGCCTCAGCTCGAAAATCCTGGACGTGGAGAGGCTCGACAGGGAGAGCGAGAGCGACGACTGCTTCAACTGGACGATCAAGGCGACGATCAGAGGAGATATAATGAGGGACCTGGGTGTGATATATAATGGAAATTACTATGCGATCTCGGAACACCCAGGGTATAAAGAAGAAAATGAGGGTGTCATGGAGGAAGCTGAAGAGGAGGAGGAGGAGGAAGATCGGCTGTGAATCGTTAAGCTACTTACCGACTGCCACATGTCAAAATGCACAAAGCAGACTTTAGTAATAAAATGAGCAGGTGCAATATCACATATCCGATGTGACATGTTCGTATCTGTAATGACTCAATAAAATAATGGTGTAACGCGTGCTGCGGTAGGGGTGGGGTGCAGCCGTGGCGTACTGTGTTATACCGTCGAAAGAACTCGATGGACGGTCAGACAATCGCGACGATCTCGTACGATTGAAATCGTCGGCAAATATCGGCAGAAAATAATTTTTTGTATAGGTATTGATCCTGTTGAAAATCATGTAAATCATTTATAAATAATAAATACAAATAAGCGCTTCATGGTTGTTTGTTGTGTGCGGGACGACGCGATGACGGCGCAAAATGAGAGGACTGTTGACTGCCCCCTCCTGGATGGTGGCACATAGGTTAAAATTGCTTTATACTTTTTATAATTATTATGTGGATTGTACTATTCGAGACTTAGCCGATCTAAGGTTACTTATTTTTAAGACGATTAATAGTAAAGTTCATATAGACTTCAATTGGTGAAAATGTTTAGGGTATGAAATATTTGAAATTGAGTTAGGATTGTACATTGCTCAATTAATATTGTTTTTATGAATATTTCACTTACAGATTTGTTGTGATATGATAAAGATATTTAAAAGAAATGATTGAACAGAATCATTTTCGGATTAGCTAATTTTCATGAGAATGGAAAGAACCGTAGGTCTATATTAGATAATTTATATACACGAAACCGGGTACGTTTTTGTCTGCGATCACTTCAGGAGAAGCCCGCACCTCTTTGTGAATTTTTTCGGGTGCACGGCAGGATCCTGAAACGACTGCAGAGTCGCGAGAGAAACGTGGAGGACGTTCTAAAATATGGGTGAGGAACAAAACTGGGAGAATTTTCCTTCTTCCGCCGAGAATGTTCCGAACTGTACAACCACTGCCAATAGGTAATTACCGTTAAACAAACTATTGGGATTTAATAAAGTGTTCTCGTGTAGTGTTGTTCTCATCAGCTGACGGGGCGGGGCAATCCCGGCCTCTCGACTGACCCATTTCCAAGAGGGCGAAGACACTAAATGCCCTATAAGTTGTACTACTACACCCCTGTCATACCACTATTGCCACTCCGTACCCCTCGGGCCGGCTTGGCCCAGCCCTACACGCTGGAATTGCATTCAAACTGCACCGCACTGCGAAACCCGGTTGACTGCGCGGGGGAAGGGAGGGGAACGGAGTATTGCTCGCCGGGGTCGTTGACACCGAGAAGGACGCTCTGCTCCTGTCATGGCACACTGCCCCAATTTCGAAGCGCGATCCACAGGGAAGGGTGACCCAATCACTCAATTTATGCAATACGTTTTTATTCTAATACCCTTCAGGATAGGTAGCGAAAGGATTTCTAGATGACAAAATGTTCTGAATTGAAGGACAACTTTCGGATGATAAGGTAACGAAAAATATCGAAAGGTATATCTCCAAACTAAATTATAACTGGTTTTTTCACTGTTACATACGACGAGACTAGGGAGTTGAGTTGAAGTGCTTAACTTTTCAAAATCAAATGAAAATTATTCGTTTAGAAATATATGATGACGAGTCCCAGAAATACCGGACCTAATATCGTTGTTGAACAACTTCAATCGGCGTTGCCTTTTTCCAATTTGGATAATGGTAAATTTGGGAGAGCCAATTTAAATATGTTTTGAAGTGCCATGCTGTGGCTGCCAATATTATCTGCTGTAGTATTTTATAGACAACAGAAAACGCATCCACGCAGTTCTTAAAAATACTGAAAAATTCCAGGCAGATCTAGTTTACCTGCTTATGTGCTTAATTCTCATTGTCAGATACTAGTATCTGTCTAGAGACAGCATTCATCTCGCTGGGGAAAATGAGATCATCAGCCTGTGCCTACAGGGTGTATCAACGATGTGTGGTTGTACTTTCCTATTATAGGTAGAAAAATGTCTCAAATAAAAGTTGTGAAAAGTAAAGGAAACTCTTTTTCAAAAATAACCAATAATCCATAGGATGTTCAAGACACGTGTGATCTACTGAACTTATAATTTTCAAACGGAACACCCCCATATATTTCGACTCGACTGATTTCCTCCAAAAACGTTGATGAGATTCATGTAATGGATGGGCTCATTCAACATCCAATATATTCTACTAGAGCGAACGAGTGAAAAATATATTACACCAAATATCCTTCTGAATAATGTATTTTCATTTCAATAATATGAGCTTTCGGAAAATGTACCTGAGCTTCGGCTACTTGATTTCTATAGGAAATGTATCTAGTTCTTGAAGGAAGTATGAAAAAGTGGTGAAATCAAAGCAATAAAGAATCCTTTATTCGATATAGAAAAAACGGGCTAGAAAATGAAATCAATCAATTTGAAAAACTATAATTCCACAAGAGATGTTCAAACAATTTTTCATTTTGAGCTATGGTTGAATTATTAAGTCTATCTTCGATTACTTTTAGACGACAGTTAATGCTTATCTCACAATTGAGTAAAAACCTCTCTGATCCTTTTTCTCTAGTGTCGTTGGATTCTCACAGTAGACCAATCCCTTGACATATCTTCAAATAACAGAAATCTAAGAAAATTATGTGTGGGGACATTGCAACTCCCCTAGAAATGTACCGATCGCAATCTCCCGAGTTTTTAACTGCAGATTCTGAACAATTCAAGACACCATTATATTTTTTCTACGTTTTATTCACATGTTGTGCTTTGAAATTCTTGTTTTTCGAATCTTCTCTCTCGAAAAATTTCCGGTATAACATTCATTGAACCAGAATATGGAACTGCCTACAATTAAACTGCTTGAAAGTAGCCTCTGTAATATATATCCAAAATTTATATCATCTAAGTTAAATGAAATCATCTTTGGAACATTTAAATGTTATGAGAATTCACAACCTACTTGAGATTCACTTATTGAAGCAGTGTAAGGAAAAAAAAACGTTTATTTCAAACGTGGAACTGTTCGAAAACTTCACTTGAGGACCTCAATGTTCCTAGCCTTATTTTTCCAGAATAATGTTATCTGAAGATGTATCAAAGGATAGATTTATTGTGAGAAACCATAGACACGGGAAAATAACGAATCACAGAAATTCTTCAATAATTCAAAACCTATATTTGCCGAAAGTTCATAGTGTGGATTATTCTGGTACGGCTTTGTTCACGGTATGCTGAATTTGAGAAATTTGAGGAAAAAGTCAATCTCGACTCTTGTCGAGATTGACTTTTGACTATAGAAAAAGCGCTACTTGGTAATATTATGAATAGAACATAAAAATACATTATTCTCAAGGTTATTTGGTTAAAAAAAAATCCAATTTATCTATTTTGTTGAAAGATACAATTGGCGTACTATTCTCACACATCAAAACTGCAACGGTCTTCTTAACGCGCCAATTTGTTAGGTGAAACAAGTTGGCTCTTCAGGAGATGAAGACGTCAACGTGGTTGGTGAAACGCGCGTTGAAAAGAGCGTTGCAGTTTTGGTGCTTGGAAACAATGATTGTTTTGAACTTATTTTTTTTGAGATAAATCTCTTCATAACTCCTGAACCACCCAATATTTCAGTTTTTAAACCCAAACAACCTCATATTTTTGAGAACAACTATTTTGTGAGTAATCAATCGAGTGAAAATGTAAAGAATGTTCCATGTAGAAAACGAAACTCTGGTAAGCCTTTGAACGTCCTGTATTATTACGGATATTTTGAAACATGTTAGTTCCTATTTTCCATCACTTTACAACTTTTATTGTAGACATCTTTTTCTATCTCAAATAGGTGAATACATCGTAGATACATCCTATAAGACTTGAAAAAATCATCTAATATGTTACTGAAACGAGAAAAATAATTTAATATACTTAATAAAATGAAATAATTTTCAAGCGTAACCTATAAATTTAAATTAAGAAAAATCACCAGAAGCGGTTAATCTAAAGAAGATCATATGACATGTTTGTTTTATCACTATCAGTCATACTGGTGTGCTTATTCGCTTAATATTGGGATTGCAGTTTTAAGACAATTTTTGATAAAATCTAACACAACGCATCCGTACAAATCGATATTTGATTTTGCGAATATTTGAACACAGCGTATTCATTTCTATTGTTTACAATTAACAAATAATATGCTTCATTGTGTTCAAATGTTTTACCACCTCTACACAATCTCAAGTTTGGAAATGAAAATCATTTAAACGAACTAAGTCTGGCCAAAAAAGGTGTGTTAAGAAATATTTCGATTTTTTTTTATTCAGTGATTTTGACAATCGCATAAATCAACTACTGCATCAGTTACACACTGCACCTCCATATTTTTCTGTTGCAAAGAAAACAACAGATTTCTCTGAAAAAATATTTTTCAGTTTGAGCAAATGAAAGTAGTGTATCATATTCTCGAGAATTATTTTTAATGTATACAAATTTAATGTCGATTTATGTTGTTCTCGACCGTTGTTATTTTCTCAAAACTTCAACCGCTATGCAGGTACATGTCAGGTCCGTCACTTCTAGAAATATTATTTTAGTTCCGCATAGTTAAATCAAGATTTGAACAGTTTTTCTTTATTTTTGAAACCGAAAATTTTGATATTCGTGGTTGCATCGAGATGACTGTATCAATAACTAGTGGGACTCATCTGCTATCTGATGTTGACTGAGAAAAAAGGCAAAGGAGTATACAGGTAATCAACTAGGGAAGAAATGGGAAAGGAAGACTAGGGAAAGGAAGACTAACTCTTCTTCTTTTGTCAGGATAAGTTCTCTGGTAACACGTAATGCCCAGAACTTTTTAAAAAGCTTCCTCCTAGGAAGCAACAACTTCCTTCAAACCCACGCTGAGTAAACCCTTGGGCAGAGGTACACTTTGAAAGGGTGCTTTTGTGGGTAATCGTGTCTGAGATTTCTCTTTGAAAGGTAAGAACTCTGCTTCTCCTCGGTTGGTTGGATGGTTTCAACTAAACAAACGACCCTCGCACCTTCTACCAAAATATGAACCAACTTGAACCGTTAGAGATACATGACAATTTTGGCGGAGAGGTTTTCTCCAGTAGAGAGCTAGTCAAAGGTGACTTTAATATGTCCTATTCGCAAGCAGTTCACCACATATTTTTGTGAATCATGTAAGGAACTCCAATTTTCCCTAGTACAAACACTATGTGTTACTTGGAAAAATAAATTGTTGTTGTAAATAGTAGTATGGGCTCGGCATTTTTCATTTCCGAGCTTTTGTTCCAAACATTTTGTATATGTTTTGTTTTATGTTATTTACTAAATGGT